AAGTTTTAGTGAAGTTAATATCAATCAGTTAAAGTGTTACTAAACCCAGGACCCTGCATTCACTATATCTGGTCTCCCACAGTACACAGAACATGGAAGTGCAATTAGTTTAGTAAATATAAACTACAAAATACCTTTTCTCATCAGCAGTATGTAGCATCCTTGTGACTTCTATCAGTGTTCAGCAGAGCACTGGTTAAAACTTGTAGGAGAAATTTTCTTTCTGCTCTAGGAGGATGCAGGGCCCCTGACTTCTGTCTGGACAGTGCTGATTGGCCCTGTGCTAATCACTTGCACTCTCCCAAGAAAAAAAAAAAACCTATCTAGCAATACACACTAAACTGAGCATGTGCAGAATGGATATGGTTCAGTCTGTCTTATCAGGAGATAAGATGTGGACATCTGAACAAGAGGGGGAGCAGATAAGTCAAGATTAAAGGGCCTTTTTACACAATGCAGAGGATTAACCCCTTAAGTTCCACAGTGAGTATAACAAGCATGCTTTACTGCATATACAGACTGATTTTACTGTTGTGGGTTTAGTGACACTTTAGGGTTTACTTACATTTTAAAGAATAAATCCGGTGTTACTAATTCTATCAAATCCTCCAGTGCTGATACACCTAATGCGATACATAAAATACCTAAACTAATAAATATGCAAGCTAAAAAATAAATGAAAAAAATATCTATACAAACAAGATATTTTGTAATAATGATCAGAAGGTAAGACTACAATCTTAGTGCTGTAAATAATGCAGTGCCACATACATACACACTTCAGTCCATATAGTGTCCAATATTACTTCAAAACATGAAGTGAATGTTTGCAGTTAATACCACACCATCGGTGCTATCAGTGCTGCTGAATGTGTGAATCACTGTACTGTATATATCAGGTCATACACTCAAATACCCAGTGCTACATTTCCGTACCTGATAACCTTTGCCAGTGTCTCCCCACGCTCCAAAAACATCAACCAATTGCTGCTCCAGCTCCATACGGATTACAACTTCACCTCAGGTATCAACTCATATGTCACATACTGTAGGTCATATGTACTTAATCCTCTCCCTAACAGTAAATATGATATTACACATAGGTTAAGTTCCTGGACAGAACAAATGATGTGCAGGACCCTTTCAGGGATCAAGTTCCAATGGTGGCTGGAAATAATTCTCAAAACAGAAATATCGCAAATAGTATAATAAAAGTTAATATATTCCTCTGGTATTAATTAAAATTGCACTCACATATGATAAAACAACTCTCCAGTGTTGTATGGGCAATATAACATGTAGTTACAGTTCCTCTCACCAACTTCCAGTTTCGATTCTGTACTGGAAGTGACGTCACCCGGCTCCGCCCAATGTGTTGCGTCTTAGATCACATAACTTCCTTAGACGATGGTGTAGACCAGGGGTGGGCAACCTTTTTGACTTGAGGGCCGCAATGGGTTCATATATTGGACCCGGCCGGACCAAGAGTAGATGAATGATGTGTCATCCATAGTAAGTATAGTAATATTCCCCCATAGTAAGCATAGTAATTAATCCCCCCATATAGTAATTCATCCCCCATAGTAATTCATCCCCCCCATAGTAATTCATCCCCCATATAGTAATTCATCCCCCATAGTAATTCATCCCCCATAGTAATTTCATCCCCCATATAGTAATTCATCCCCCTATAGTAATTCATCCCCCCTATAGTAATTCATTCCCCATATTAATTCATCCCCCATATTAATTCATCCCTCATATAGTATTTCATCCCCCACAGTACTATTCCCCCCCAAGTCCCCCCTGTGTCAATTTACTTACCTTTGCTCCGCGCGTTCCTCTCGCTGTGTTCCCGCGCCGTTCCGGTCTTCAGGGCGGACTGTGAGAGGAGCCTAGCTCCCCTCACGTTCGTCACGCTGCCCCGCCTACACACATCCTGACAGCCATCCTGACAGTATCACGCTCCGCGGGCCGGATTAAAAGGTCCGCCGGGCCGTAGTTTGCCCATTGCTGGTGTAGACCATCCTTTTGCAACCAGGGTGCCTAGGCATCCTGGGGTGCCTTCTGGATTCTTCGGGGGTGCTTTGGCAAAATGCCTTCAAATATCCTCAAATTGCCCAAAAATTGTGTACAAGACAGTGGGTGGATCAAACCTCCTTTTTTATTACACAAAGCCACAGTTTTTCTTTGTGCAACATTACAAGCTAGGGCACTGTGCAGGCCAGCTGCCAATGTCTTAACAACCACTGACATAATTGGATGATAAGGAAGACCACACGAGGCACCTGCACAGCATCCTCGTTTGACCCTCTAACCCCTCTCTGTCAGCACTGGGGTCACATTAGGTACATCGGGGATGGAAAATGAGGAAGAAGAAATGCTGGAATACTAGTCAGTACCAGTGTGCAAAAGTGAATTTGCTTTGAAAGAGTAAATCATCTCTAATGCTGGTTGTCCTATGAGTGTGTTCTGTAAAACTATTAGTTTAGTTTTTTTACATTTTAGAAGGGAGTGCCTTGAGATTGTGCAGACTTTTGCAGGGTGTCTTGACTGAAGAAAGGTTGAGAAACACTGGCCTACTCTAGAGGAATGTTTTAAACTTGATTAAACTATAAAAACGCAGGTTTCTGACCAAGTGGGAATGGGCCCTAAGGGCTCCTGTACACGGGACGTTTAGAAAACACTTCTGAATGATGGAAACTGACTGCTGGAAAACGTAGGTTAAAAAAGTCTGTTTAGCCACATTTGCATACCACGTTTATGCGCGTTTGCGTTTAGAAGCGTTTTTTAAAGCTAACCTCAGGAGACCTTCCAAAATGCCCAGAATGCACTGAAAAACAGTAAAAAATTAACTATTTCAGACATTTTGAGAGAAATTGAGAGAGCAGAAGCAGAGAGAGCAGTATGTGTTGAGATTACCTGTCTTTTCTGGTTGTATTCACTATGGATCCCATCATGAACATAATGCGGCACGTTCTACCATTTTTTCCTTCACACAAAACCTGGAACTGACTGCGCTGGTGTACCGGGTCCATTTGAATACATGGAAAACGCTTTTCTGGTGATGAAAAAAGGCTCTGGACAGCATTTGGATATGGAACAGGTAAAAAACGCTTCTAAATGCAAATGTTTATAAACACGGTTAGCCGCGTTTACAAGCATTTGGTGTTTGAAACGCTGATAAAATCTACTCCTGACTGTAAACACCATTGCCTGTAAATTACTGTAAATGAACATGTGTACATGGACTTATAGGAAAATATTAGGGAGAGTTCAGGGGCTGCTGAAAAAAACGCAGAAATGCTCCTAAAGGTGAGTTTATCAGCTGCAGTGTACATGAACCCTAACAGGAATGTTTTTCTTGTGTTTTTAGATACATTACATTCCCTTGAGAGTGGCAGTGAAGTCAGAACCCAGACCTTCATGATTGCTCCAGGTCAGTGACTCTCCCAGCTAAGATTAAAGATAAACTCTAGGCACAAATTAATGCAGCTCTGTAATTAGAGATATGGTAATAAATGTATTTTATAACCGCTTGAAGGCCAGGCCTATTCTGACACTTCTCTCTTACATGTAAAAATCAGTATTTTTTGCTAGAAAAATTACTTAGAAACTCCAAACATTTTATACATATATATATATATTAGCAGAGGCCCTAGAGAATAAAATGGTGGTAGTATTTTTTATGTCACACTGTATTTGTGCAGCTGTTTTTTCAAATGCAATTTTTTAGGACAAAATACACTTTAATGAATTTTAATGCAAACAAAAACAATAAATGTTCAGTTTTGGTTTGGTGAAATGTAAGAGATGATAGTTCACCAAGTAAATAGGTACCTAACATGTCATGTTTTAAAATTGTGCAAAAAACTACAATACTTAAAAATCTCCATAACCGAAGTTTTCAAAATTTTTACGGCTTACCAGTTCAGAGTTACAAAGGAGGCCTAGCACTAGAATTACTGCTCATGCTATAATATATATATTAGCAGAGTCCCTAGAGAATAAAATGGTGGTAGTATTTTTTATGTCACACTGTATTTGTGCAGCTGTTTTTCGAATGCAATTTTTTAGGAAAAAATACACTTTAATGAATTTTAATGCAAACAAAAACAATAAATGGCAAAATATTCTGGTTTGGTGAAATGTAAGAGATGATAGTTCACCGAGTAAATAGATACCTAACATGTCACGTTTTAAAATTGCGCAAAAACTACAATACTTAAAAATCTCCATAAGTGAAGTTTTAAAAGATTTTTACAGCTTACCAGTTCAGAGTTACAAAGGAGGTCTAGCACTAGAATTATTGCTCATGCTATAATGTTTGTGGCGATACCTTACGTGTGGTGCGATCACATACATATGCATGTTTAACCTACGCATGATTTCTCCTTTGCGCATGAGCACGGGGGGGGGGGTCTTTAAATTTATTTGCTTACTATTTATTTTTTTGCACTGTCCCTTTATTTTTTTTTTCACTTTTATTCCTATCACAATAAAACAACAGTAAACATTCCTTGTGATAGAAATAAAGCATGACAGGTCATTTGTATGGAGACATCTGGGTTCTATAAGATCTTGTATCTCCTCTACCCTTGAAAGCATGAGATTGAAAAAAAAAACAGTGATCTCATGCTTTCCAGAAAAAAAATGGCTCTGTTTATATTTGCCCTAACCGAAAAATAACAAAATGCTTGTCACTTCCGGTCTCTTACACCATAGACATTTTTCCGGTCCCTGATCAGCTCTATGATCAGTTGGCGGAACCGTCGGCTATAGTGCTGGGCTCCCAGATTGCAAAGGAGAGGCACCGCTGGGTGGAGGAAGATGGGGAATAGCCCTCCTGTCACTTGTAAAAGCGATCCAGAAGCTAATTAGCCGCTAGGATGGCTTTTACAATGTGGGGCATCGCCAGCTGAGAAAAATGATACCAAGGTTATGTCTGACAGCTGCAGCCATAGTCCCAGTATAACTGCTTGAACACCATCCCGTTCATGTACCTGATTGTGTGTCAAGTGCAGGGGCAGACTGACCATTTGGAAACTAGGGCACTGCCCGAGGGCCCGGGGTCAGTAGGGGGCCCCATGAGATGCCCCTGGTACCTTTTTCATAGGTTTTTTGAGTTTGGGCAAGGACACAGGGGCCCCATGATCCCCTATTGCCCGGGGGCCCCATGAGTTGTCAGTCCGCCCCTGGTCAAGTGGTTAAGTGCAAGTAGTGTAGGTACCCAAATGTGACCTGTACAGCACAGCTCTGAGTGTGAGAGGAAGAAGCAGCACAAGTGTGCTGACAAAAGGAGAGATCAGAGTGACGAGAGATAAACTCATCACTGTGCTCCTTCTCTTGTCCAGGCACAGGCTGGGGGGAGTCCAGGATGAGCTTAGAGGAAGTGGGTTGAATGTTATTAGGGAACATCTAATATCATAAAAAAGTACATCTCTGGTTTGACAGTGAATATTTCAACAAAAGCTTTTTTTTTTATTTGACCTTTTTATGGGCTAATCATGTTTGTCTTGTTATTTTTGGCTAGAGTTTTGCTTTAATGCAGCAGCCAGGCATGGCATTGAACAGAATTTTTTCATGACAGGTTCCGTCAGTTCTGAATTTCAGCTTGGGCGGTGTTGACACGTTTCTTGAACGTTACCGTTTAGATCTTTTTATAGAACATGCTAATTGAACAACCGCGAAATTACAGTATGTAACAGGCTGCAAGTGAAAACTGCAAAAACACACATACAAGGGGTGTAAAATATTATAATTAAAGAAACTGGGTCATGTTAATCCATCTGTGCCAATATTTATTATTTATATTGACGGCAAACAACTCAATGCAATCTAACTATAAGATTAACCCTGCAAGTGCCTGCTATACCAGGGGTCTCCAAACTTTCTAAACCAAAGGCCAGTTTATTGTCCTTCAGACTTTAGGGGGGCCTTCCTATGGCCAGCGGGAGTGGAAATTTTCCCAACATCAGTGGGAGTAAACATTGCCATATTTGGTATGGGGGGAGGAATAATGCCCCATTGTTATTATTAATGGGAGGACAAGTGTTCCATTATTGGTGTCAGGTGGAGAAATGTTGCCCCATTGTTTGTGTCTTTGGGAGAAATGGTGCCCCATTGTTGGTGTCTTTGGGAGAAATGGTGCCCCTTTATTAGTGTCAGTGGGAGAAATGGTGTCCCACTGTTGGTTTATTCAGGCGGAATCATACCCCTTTATTAGTTTCAGTGGGAGAAATGATGCCCTGTTGTTGGTGTCTTTGAGAGGAATCGTTCCCCTTTATTAGTGTCAGTGGGAGAAATGGTGCCCTACTGTTGATGTCAGTTGGCAGAATAGTGTCTTGTATCAGTGGGAGGAATATTGCCTAATCCCCCATCCTCTGGAACTCCCTACCCCAATCCATCAGACTGTCACCTACCCTCCTCACCTTCAGGCGCACCCTGAAAACCCTCCTCTTAAGGGAAGCCTACCCCAACCTCACCTAACACCCGACCTCACCTAACAATTAACCTCCTCCACTCCTCCCACCACTCCATCCCCCACAGCCATCTCCTCCTGTGCCACCTTCCCCTCCCTCCTAGATTGTAAGCTTGAAAGAGCAGGGCCCTCGAACCCCTCGTGTAGTGTATTGTTACTGTCTTGTCTCATGTTATGTCCCCCTGCTACTGTACAGCGCTGAGCATACCCTTTGGCGCTATATAAATACTGTATAATAATAATAATAATTAGTGTCAGTGGGAGAAATGGTGCCCTACTGTTGATGTCAGTTGGCAGAATAGTGTCTTGTATCAGTGGGAGGAATAGTGCCTCAAGGGCTTGATAAAGGCAAGCAAAGGGCCGCATCCGGCCCCTGGGCAGCAGTTTGGAGACCACTGTTCTATACCAAGAACATGTAGAATATTTACAGTAGACCTATCATCAATATAGTATAAATAGAGAAAGTGAGCGCCAAAACCATAAGCCGCTCTTGCACCAAAAAGGCAACCAAAATATACCTCCAAGAACAAGTAAGTAAAAGAAAGGTGCAGCGCTTAAAATAAATAAATAACAATGCACTTATAGACATCAACAACTTAATGATATACCCGCATAAAGTGACATAGTGCAAATCAGGTGTAAATGAATCTGCAATAAGCTGCTATAATACGTGACAATCATGAGCACTTATTAGTGCTAAATTACACCACAGATAAATGCCATATAAAGTCCACAATTTAATAAAGGTGAAGATCCATCGAATGGTCTCAATCAGCTGATCAGTATACTTCTAGTAGTCATTCAGGTGATGTGCCAGAGTTAGACGTTAAGACTGCGCACTCACCAGATGTAAAATCATATTACGCATTTGTGTATATGATAAATCAGCCGGAAGTCCCCTTTAACGATATCAGCAGCCTGGTCTGGTCCGAGAGATTCCCTTCCCCTAGGTCGGGTGTCGGCAACCCGCGGCTCCAGAGCCGCATGCGGCTCTTTTCATCTTTGCTGCGGCTCCGGAGCACACTGCCCACCAGGTGGTCGGCAAGCCGCAGATCGCGAGCCACATGCGGCTCTTCTGTGTGCCGGGCGCCCGCTCCCCTCCCTCCTCAAAAATCCGGCCCGCGGAGCGTGGAACATTGGCTGTCAGGATGTAGGTGGGGCAGCCAGGATGTAGGCGGGGCAGAGTGACAAACTCCTCTCTCAGTCCGCCCTGAAGACCAGAACGGCGCAAGGGAACACAGCGAGAGGAACGCGCGGAGCAAAGGTAAGTGAATTGAGACAATATGGGGGATGAATTACTATGTGGGGGATGAATTACTGTGTGGGGATGATGAATTACTATGTGGGGGATGAATTACTATGTGGGGGATGAATTACTATGGGGGATGAATTACTATGGGGAATGAATTACTATGTGGGGGATGAATTACTATGGGGGAAGAATTACTATATGGGGGATGAATTACTATGGGGGAAGAATTACTATATGGGGCTATGAATTACTATGGGGGAAGAATTACTATATGGGGGATGAATTACTATATGGGGGATGAATTACTATGGGGGATGAATTACTATATGGGGGATGAATTACTATGGGGGATGAATTACTATATGGAGGATGAATTACTATATGGGGGATGAATTACTATGGGGGATGAATTACTATATGGGGGATGAATTACTATATGGGGGATGAATTACTATGGGGGATGAATTACTATGGGGAAGAATTACTATATGGGGGATGAATTACTATATGGGGGATGAATTACTATGGGGGAAGAATTACTATATGGGGGATGAATTACTATATGGGGGATGAATTACTATGGGGGATGAATTACTATGTGGGGGATGAATTACTATGGGGGATGAATTACTATATGGGGGATGAATTACTATATGGGGGATGAATTACTAGGGGGATGAATTACTATGTGGGGGGTTATGAATTACTATGGGTGATGAATTACTATATGGGGGATGAATTACTATATGGGGGATGAATTACTATGGGGGATGAATTACTATGGGGGAAGAATTACTATATGGGGGATGAATTACTATATGGGGGATGAATTACTATGGGGAAGAATTACTATATGGGGGGATGAATTACTATATGGGGGATGAATTACTATGGGGGGATGAATTACTATGTGGGGGAATGAATTACTATGGGGGATGAATTACTATATGGGGGATGAATTACTATATGGGGGATGAATTACTATGGGGGATGAATTACTATATGGGGGATGAATTACTATGGGGGATGAATTACTATATGGGGGATGTATTTTCAGTTTTAAAAATGTGGCTGTCAAAATAAATTTCAATCGTGGTTTTGGCGAGATTTGGCTCAGTTGAAAAAAAAGGTTGCCCACCCACTGACCTAAGGCTATGATTGTGATTATGAAGATACACTGTGGCCCTGATTAACCCTTTGCTTACTGGGCCCTTAAACCCCCTTCATGACCAGAGTGCTTTTTGCAATATATGCAGTGTCGGATTTGTTATAAATGTTGCAATGGTTTTGCGGCTCCCAGTCTTTTTTTTTCCCTTCGGAAACGGGTCCAAGTGGCTCTTTATGTCTAAAAGGTTGCAGACCCTGCCCTAGGTTATCTGCCGCACCACTGCCGTCCTCCAGGATGGGCTCTGTCTATGTTGATTATAAATCTCCAAAAATTACCATGATCAAAACTCTTAAAAGAAGAACTTTTAAAAAGTCGGAAACCACTTATCAACCAGCACCTTGCTCTGAATATGCTCAGTTGCTCTCTATTTTTAGGCACATTGACAATTTTTGGCAAGGTTGGGTCGGGCAACGGGTGGAGAGTAAGTTTTGTGACCGGCTAGTAGGTCTGGACTCTAAATTTTAACCCCAAACTATAAACTGTAGCTAAAACACGTCTTTTCAAACCCTGAAAGCTTAAAGCAATTCTAAAGGTCCTTTTTTTTGGGGGGGGGGGAATAACAAACAGGTCTATACTTACCTGTTGTGTCCAGTGATTTTGCAAAGAGCAGCCCCAATCCTCTTCTTCTCAGGTTCCCCGCAGGCTCTTCTGGCTCCTCCCTCCTGTTGGGTGCCCCCACAGCAAGCAGCTTGCTATGGGACACCCACTCACTGCTCTGTGTGTCCATTCACATATGGAGCGCGGCTAGGCCCCTCTCTCTTCTCATTTGCTCACTGGCTATGATTGATTGGGAGCCAATGGCTCTCGCTTCTGTCTCAGCCACTGAGAAGAGGGAGTTACGGGATAACCGAGACTCCAGTACACATCGCTGGATCTAGAGTGGGCTTAGTTGACTATTAGGGGGAGCTGGGGGAAATACTGCACACAGATTTTTTACCTTCATGCATAAAATGCAAGAAGTTAAAAAAACTTGAGCCTTTACAATCGCTTTAAATTATGTTTGCAAAACAGTGCCAGGAGCTGGACTGAATATATCCCGGTCAAATACAGCAGAAAAATTTGCTTTCAGGAAACTGCTGTAGTTTTTCACCATTTGGCTTCTTCAACACAATTACAATTAAAATGTCATGCATTGAAAGGCGCATTTGATCATTGCCAGCTCAGTTTCGACTTTACAAAGAAATTTTGGTGGTTGATTAAACTCATGGGTGGTAG